CAACCCTGATGAACCTAATCGGTTGGGTAGATTACAGGCTTGTCTTGAGGACATAAAAAGTTGGATGACTCTAAACTTCTTGCTTTTAAATCAAGACAAGACCGAAGTTCTCATCTTTGGACCAGAAATCCAGAAAAGGAGATTGCTTAGCCAGTCGCCTGACCTGAATGGCATTACACTAATCTCAGAGAACAAAGTAAGGAACCTTGGTGTTATCTTTGACCAGGACGTCATTCAAATCCCAGGTTTCACAAGTTTGTAGGATTTCCTTTTTCCACCTTCGGAAAATTGCTAAGATTAGAAGCATCCTTTCCAGAAGTGATGCTGAAAAACCAGTTCATGTATTTATTACATCAAGACTGGATTACTGTAATTCATTGCTCTCAGGAAGTCCACAGAATGTAGTTAAAAGTCTTCAGCTCGTCGAAAATGCTGCAGCTAGAGTTCTGATGAGAATTAAAAAGAGAGATCATATCTCTCCTGTCTTAGCTTCCCTACATTGGCTACCTGTTAAATTCAGAATAGATTTTAAGATCCTTCTTCTCACATATAAAGCTCTTAGTAATCAAGCTCCATCATACATCAGTAATCTGATTGTTCCATATGTTCCTAACCGAGCACTTCGCTCTCAGACTGCAGGTCTACTGGTGGTTCCCAGAATATCTAAAATTAGGATGGGAGGCAGATCTTTTAGTTATCAGGCTCCTCTCCTGTGGAACCAGCTCCCAGCTTTAGTCCGTGAGGCAGACACTTTGTCTACTTTTAAGAATAGGCTTAAAACATTTTTATTTGATAGGGCTTATGGTTAAAATCTGATGTTAGCCTAAATCTGGACAAGTGGGGGAGTAGAGGGAGATGGAGTGTACAGTCGGTAAAGACGACTCTCCCTTGCCCTGACTCCAACATGCCTCCATCTAAATAGGATAGATTATCCTGAGTTATCTCTGTAGTTATGCTGCTATAGGCTTAGACTGCTGGAGGATACACTGACCACTTTTCACACTCTACTGCTTTCTTCTACAGTCTGCTCTTTAACGGTACTATTTTCTGCAATTTCAGCTGTTAACTTTATTTTCTCTGTAAGTGTTTTTCTCCCCAGAAGAAGCTACAATGATGTTCTGCTGAGCTGTGGTGGCCTCATGGAGGGGGCCATCGACTAGCACACTGCTGCTAACCACTAAAACATTCTCCCTCTCCTGATAATAACATTTTACTTTCCTTGACGTTGGATGTGCTAATACTAGTTTATCCGTTTAATTATAGATTCACTAGGACAAATACAATAAAGTTTATCTTTCACCAAATAGAATATTTACTAAGACATCACAATATAACTATAGACACATTACTAGTCTTTGTGAGTGTGCGCGTGTGCGTGCGTGCTTCATTAAAGCAAATTTCATAATTACAATTAATTAGGTGAATGATAAAGTCACATTTAACACAGTTACTTGTGTAGTTGGGAGACTATCCAGAGTTTCCTGCTTCTCCCTGTACTGCTGAATAGTGGAATTACAACAGTGGTAACAACCCTGCTGCAGCCTCCAATAAGTGTAGGCCCTGCTAGCCGCTGGTTTTAGCTCTTTTCTTCTCCTCCAGTGACATTAGTCTCTTACCTTTATTTCCAGCCTCAGCCAAGATTCCAACAAAAGAGCAAGTGTCTTCTTCATTTTGCCATTTTTATTCACGGTTGGAAAACTGAAAAAGCTGCCAGCTAGCCTTAATATTTGCTACTGGCACAGGAAACTCCACCCTAACCGTTGCTCCACCTCTAACTTGTGCCTACTCAAACCACAAAGTTGTTAAGTGCGGTTTCTGGTTAGCAGAGGGCTACAGAGTGCTGTCCGAGATGAAACGGCTGAAGTTTATGGCTAAAGCCTGGGGCACACAGAAGACATGCGCTGCGCCACGTCATACTGGCGCCGTCATTTAAAGAAGTTACTAAGAGTGGCTACACGGAGAGAGCAACCTCACATTCCAGAAACGCCTGTCTGCGCCATACGGCGCTGAAGATAGGTGTCCATTGTATTTCAAACGTTGTGGCCCGGCTGTTTACGACATTGTGGATTTCTTTACAGATATTACGACACGGAACAGCTCTACGGCACAAACCCAACCTCCAAAACACGGACGAAGAGCTCATAAATGCTACTAGATCACAGTATAAATAACTTTAAAGTACTATTGATCTTAAAATATTCTAATAAATAGTGTACTTACCCAATTTTAATGAATTAGAGTCTCACAAAACACAACGGCAAGTCTGATCACGTATAAACAAAAGAGTCACTTTCCACTTCCTGTTCTCAAGTGCTGCATGACGTTGTGAGTATCGCCTTCGCGGCGCAGCGAGACCTGTTTGCCTTCCCAAAACCGCGGCACTTCCGTGTGTGCCCCAGGCTTAAAGAACTACTGAAACCACATTTTAAAATGTGGACTCACCCCCTAATCAGACAGCTCTGTTATTAAAGCAGAGTGGCGCTCCTATGGAAGTCGATTTTCAACAAGAGAATAAAAATGCACAAAAGTGTGTTTTTTGTCCCAGCGGCATTGATTCTGGGAAATAAATCCAAATGGAATATTCCTGGGGAAAATGTGGGTAAGTAATGGGAGCATTCTTTTCATTATAGATGTTCTTTTTCAGATTTTACTTCTTAATATTCTGACTAAAAACGATTCTGTTTTCCTGAATGTAAAATTTAAAGTCACACCACACAACGCTGTTAAACAAACTGAATGAGGAGGGGTAACGACGTGGAAACAGTTCCCTATGTCCCTCGTGGATTATGTGTGTTTACAGCTAAATTGCTTTCCTTATCTTTGCCACCATCTCTCCAGAGATCACAGTTTCATTTCTTCTGCTCTGTCTTCACTCCTGTTTCTGTTTGTTTGCTTGTCTGGTTTTCAGTTTGCTCGTGTGTCCGTCTCTATTCCAGCAGCGCTCACTTCCAGTCCACTGGTTTTCTCCATTTACCGCTCTCTTCCTGCCATCGTTCCTGCAAGCTCCCAGCTTTGCACAGGGGTTTCGCCTGGTCCTGCATATTTTAGTTACAGAGTGATCGACTGGTTCAGTCTGGACCAACTGGAGGCCCGAGAAGTGACAGCAACACATATCCACCCTTCATGGATCCATTCTTCCTTCAGTAAAAATTTGGTGTTAATCACTTCCCAAAATTACTAGAGTAAACACATGGTATAGGGTTTTTAATTGTTTGCTAGTTAGAGAGCACACACACACACACACACACACACAACACACACACACACACACACACACACACACACACACACACACACACACACACACACACACACACACACACACACACACACACACACACACACACACACACACACACACTGACCCATCACTGCTGCTTTTGCCTGTGGGTGCAGGTGCTCTGCTGTCGGCTGCTGAGCCAAACCAGTTAATTAATACAGGTGGAGTGTGTCAGGAAAAGGGAAGGAAACACGCTGCTGTCGGCAGAAACGGTGAATGAGTGACTCCTTAAACTTTTCAACTTAATTTTACCCCAAAAACAGAAGAACATTGTGGTTCTGCGGCCTGTGGTGTTGTTTCGAGCCTCTAAGCACAACACACCAACAAACATCTACACAAACGTTGTGAAGCGTGTGCTGATAAATGCAAATGAGGTGGTAATTAGCCAACTTCAGGTGCTTATTCTCTTTCTCCCTGTGTGTGTGTTTATCACTATTACACAAACAGGCCTCATACTTTGATTTATGAGTTAGAGAAATGAAAGTAAGAAAATATTTAGGATTAAATGACGTTTTCTGATCTTTTTATCATCTGAAAGTAACAGTTGAGATGATCTGAAGAGGCTTTGGCCTGTGAAGAGCAAATACTGCAGATAGTTCTTTAAACAGCCAAAATATTGTCTAATGTTACCTAACATTCTTATTCTTTTCATATTAAAATTTTTCTTGTTATTTGATAACAATAGCAAAGGTGTCAGAACTGGCACTTAGCACCTGCAGTACTTTGGATCTCCACCAGAGGGTCCAGCACATGTACAGGACTAAATACAGTGGGGTTTGAGGCAGTGTTAGTTTCATTCACTAAATATTTGAGTTTCTTTTTTTATGACCAATTTTTGCGGACTAAACTGAAACGAAAACTAAAACACACACGCCAATAACGACTAAGTGATCAGAGTCCGGATCTGGCCACTGTTTGAACAAGCTACCGCTAACCCGACGTCTATGCTGTTAACAATTTTGTCTAAAAGGCGAAAATGTCCACGGCTAGGAGGAACTGGCCTGACCTGCCGGACTCATCCTCTGTTTAATTCTGCAGAGAGAAAGAGTCTGGCTACTCACCGGCAGAGAGGCACATGAGGGGTGGGTCTAGCCAGCTCAAAAATAATCAGAAAAAAGACAGAAATGCCAACTGTACCGCACAACGCTGTAGTTTTTTAGCTGTAGTCAAAAATGGCATCTAGCGACAAACATCTTTGTTTTTTTAAGAAGAAACACTTTTACCTCTTCATCTTGTTGTGGGTTTAAAGACATTCATGTCATTTAGAACAGAAGAAGTAGCCGCAGCGAACTCCGCTTCAGACGCCGTCCGTGGTTTATTAGAAACTCAGCGTTCCAGTGTGTGTGTGTGTGTGTGTGACGTACACTGCGCAGCGCTGATTGGCTCGGTTAGAATTCTTCAGGGTTGAGGTTATTTAAATAGAAGAGTTCCCGGACCCAATGCTTCCCATAAGGATGCACAGAGCTGGCTGGTCAGACTAAGGAGGAAAAGCATTAGATGAGACAATCTGAAAACAATTTGCTTGGTGAGTACGCATCCGGGTTTTGCTTGGTGTTAAAAGTCTTATGGTGGTAGCAGCCATAGGTAGCGGCGAGCAGGAGAGGGAGAGGAGGAGGGGGGAGGGATGACTGAAGCAAAAAAAAACATTCTTCCCACAAAAAAGCAGGAGTTTTAAAACTCAAACTAATGTTCCTGCTAAAAGAAAAACTACACAATAAAGTCATTCATACGTGTTTTTTAATTTTCTACAAAAATATTATACATTAAAAACACAGCGTAAAATAAACACGGTCCACCGGGTGCAATAACTGCAAAACCTTTCAGATCAAATATATAAGTTTAAAGGTAAATATCTCTTTACAGCGATAATAAATCCAAGGCCGGGGAGGATGAGGATGTAGCTGGAGGTGATAAAAGTAAACAAAAATATCAACCTTGGTTTGACAGCAGGGAACATGTTAGAAGCGCTCACAGCCAGCAGATGAACAGCAGGTCCTCCTTTTGGATCAGAACCAACAGATTTAGGTAAGAAAACTGGTCCATCCACCTTCCCCCCTGCTCATCATAAGCGTTTAAGGACTTATAGACATATGTTTATGAGGACTGTGGGATTTATTAAAACACCTGTCTGCTGATCTCTGTTTGTGTAGCTAGATCTGATTTCTCTGTTTTTGAGGCCTAAATAGAAACTGGTGCCCACAGTAGGAGGGATATTAGTTTTAATTCCAAGCAGCGCCCCTGGTACCCTGGATGATTTCCAGACCTTGTTTGTTATGCCTCTCTGCACCCTCTCTGGCCTTGCAGCAGGAGTGCCGGAGTTTTTCTGTGCTTCATGAGCCTTATTGTTCTAATTCACTTTATTGGCTGCTCTTGTGAAGATGTGGAAAAGGTACCTTTCTGCACTTGGCTTAAACTCCTAAATGTTTATGATGGGTGTCCTTCAGAATTCAGTCACACAGAAAGAAAATGAAGGAAAGGACTTCATTGTTTCCCAGGTCTGAGATTACCGCCAAAATGTTGAGATTAAATCTAAATGAAGCTGAAAGAACTGGAAGAAAATCAGCTTCTATAAAAAAGCAGAAATAATGAATAATTTTTTTATTTTGTGATTTATCCAGTCAAAACCACCCAGTTACAAGAACAGGTCACTAAGGGTTTGCTTCCATGGGCGACTCTGTAAATGATCCTCTATTTCAACTTTCCCCCCCCCCCCCCCCCTCAACATTTTGACTTTATTTTGGAAATATTCCCACTTATTTCTCAATATTTTAAGTTGAGTCTGGAAACTTTACAAAATTTGTTGATAATTCAATTACATATCTATACCTTTATAGACATTTTGCTTTTTTTTTTCAAATTATTTCAACTTTTTCTTTCATTTTAACTTATATTCCTGAAATATTTTAACAACACTCTGACTTTAAAATGGAAATTCTTCAATATTGTTTCATTTTACAAATGTTCAATTCCTTAAAACTGGACTAAAACTGCCTTCCTACTATGCAACTGTATATTAACATTGATTTGTATGTTAGTTTGGATTTTTTAGGGGGGGAGGTCACATATTTACACATTTTTCCAGGATTCTTCAAGAGTCAGAAGTTGAAATTTTCATTGTAGTTTGGGTTAATAAACAATGACAGAAAACCAAACAACTGACCCTTTTCTACCCATGTATGTTGAGAAAAGTGATATTTGTTAAAAAAAGACTTTAAAAAAATCTATTTTCCAGATTAACCAATTGGGTAGTTTTGCAAAAAAAAAAACAAAAAAAAAAAAACACTACAGTTAAAAAAGGTACTTCCATTAATGTGCTAGTATATATATATATTGGATTATGAACAGTTTTCTTTGACCTGTAATAAAGCATCTTCTCTGGCGTCTGTGTAAATGTCACTGTTTACTTTTGAAACTGCTGACTTGAACATGACTAGTGCGTTTGTGGAGGTTTGCTGCTGTAGATCTGCTGTAGAAGAAAAAAAATCAAATTCTGCTTTTGGAAAATATTTCTTATTAAATAAAAGTTTTTGTTTTTCAGAGAGGAGGCAGTTTTATAATTTCTAAAGAAACATATAAAAAAGAAAGGATAACACATTAAACTTGGATGTACCTTTGTTCCCCTCCAAAATGGCATGGTAAATAAATAACTTTAACATCTGAGCAAAAGATTACAAAAATGGTATAATAACATTTTCCAGTTGGATTTCCCAGTTTGTAGAACTTCATCCCATGCTTCAGCATCATAGCAGTTCAGAGCAGAGGGTCAGTAACAGCGTCCAGAGAGGCATCAGAAGCCAGATGGGGGAAGTGGAGAGATGTGTCCCCAAAGGTGAGGCTGTGTCTGAGGTGCAGGAGCACACCTCAAACCCGTTCTCCGCGTGGTCCGGGTGGTGATGCTCGTTGACCCTCGTCTCCGTGCTTTTGGTTTCTGAGTCCGGAGAGTCCGACTGCATCTCAGTGCAGCGCAGCCAGTCCTTGGCGATGAGGCGGGGGTATCCTGCCTCCACCTCCATGTCGCTGCCAGGCACTCGCCAGTACTCCTTCCCCTTGAAGAAATAGGACGAGCCTTCGGAGACAGAAGATGAAGTGTTAGACTGATTGTGATCAAGACTGCAAAGAGTTTGTGTTTGAGTATTTTCATGCTGCTACTCCACAAGACACTTGTCTGAAACACAGCGGGGAAAAGGGTGGGATACTGAACCAAGTCTTAGAGGCTGTTTTTTTAATAATATTTTGATTCTGTGTTATACTTGAGCCATGGCCAATAACTGCATATATATATATATATATATACACATGTATAAATATGAACTTATGAAATAATTTTCCAATTGTTGGCACCCGTTCAGTCCACACTCATACCCAGATGCAGTTTTTACCCCACAGTATATTCTTAACAACATGAGGGAAACATTGTTTGAAGAGTATTTTAATGGGAAATTATTAAACAAGCTTAGGAAGCAGGCTGAGGTAGCAAACGCAAAGTGCAATATTAAAAATGCAAAACATAAAAAAAATGTATAATCTTTCAGTTAAGTCCCGGTTCGAATGAACTTTGACTCCTGCACACAGCATGGACGTAGAAGAGTAGACGCCGCACCAACCGCTGCTGCCTATGTTTGGCCAGTTTTGCAGGTTCTACATTTTATAACTCTATGGTTAACAGGATGTTTTAGCTAGGCTTTAGCTCCAGAAAAGCTATGTGGAGATCTGGAACTAGAACGGCGAAAGAACGCGTTCATAAACCCGTTCACACATGCCAGGACGAACACACTCACTTTTACGTTCGTCAGGCAAAATACGAAGAGTTCAGTTGTCGTTCACGGAAAAAAACGAATGAATTCACGAACGATCGTTGAACGCGTTCGGGCACAACACTGCTCTAGACGCATGTGCATGATGATATTTGCGGCTTAAGTAGCATTGAAATGTTCATATGTGATCTGAAGAACACTCCTGCACGTGCAGAATGCATTTATATGATTTGGAGAGGTTTGTGTCAGCCAATAAAACATTAAAGCAAAGCCTTATGGGTACTTTTGGTTTCTTAGCTGTAATGTTTCCAATGACTGTTCCTGATAAACACATCACTGTGCCTGTCCTGTCACTACAGGGCACTTAAGTTAATTAGAGTCAGCCCAAACACTAAATGGGCTTTGGCACCCTGCTCCTCTGATGAAAATGCCACCACTTGCATGCCAATATCTGATGTGATGAAGTGAAAGTTGAGGACAATGTGTTTGCGACGTGCTTGCAGCTCTGGTAAGAAGTCAAAGGAGAGCTCTGATCTTATTAGGAATTTGACAAAACGAAAATCTGATTCTTGTTTGAGAAACATAAAAAAAAGGTCGTTACAATTAAGTTTAAAGACTCCACAGAGAATGATAAATCACATCCAAACACATCAATAAAAAAAGTCATGGTTTCTTGAAGCTTTGACACAGAATTTGACGTTACAAGGTTAGACTTTTCATTTTCTTTGGTAACTATTGATGGAGGAAAACAAGCTGACAGAAAGACGTAATAATGTGATAATATTGCAGTTCATTAAGAAGAGGCGAGAGATAAACAAGCGATGGAGCTTAGTGAAGAACATCCTCTCACTGGCAATAGCTTTGGAGGAGACATAGAACAACTCCAAGGCTTGTCATTCAGCAGCTCTAGAGTAAACCAATGTTCAGCAATGTGCATGACTAAGAGATGATGCCCTTGATTTATTTTTTCATGCGTTGGCCTGAAATGTAATTAACAAACATGTTTTTGTGAAATGTATCTACTGAGTAGAAAAAATAAAACATTGCTTTCAGTAAGTTTGGCTTTATTCTGTGATGCTCACATTGAGCAACAAGGACAGATATAAAGCCAGTTATCCCATTAAACAGTTTATTTTATTTTCATAATATTGAGAAAAATATTGCTACAACAATAAAACCTCCTGATGTGCCACTTTTGACCATTTAATGTTTGTTTGTCAAACTGACCTCTTGATGATGCCTTCTCTTGGCATGCATTATTAGGGTATTTAAAGGGTAAACACTTAGTATAGGATATAAATTGTTTTTACTTTTTATTGCAATTGGACTATCTAACAGTCTGCAAATGGATATATATTTTCACCCCAAAAATAATGTAAAGTTTGGCAAATGCTACTGTTTTTTTATAGTGGTGAATAACGGAGTCCCACAAGGCTGATGTTTTAGTCCCTTATGCCTCAGCTCCCTTGAGGGGTTACGAGATGGGTCGGGTTGCTATTCTGTCTGTTGCTGTTGTAAAAGCTAGTCATACCACCGACCCTGACTGCGTCATTCATGGGCACGCTTTAACTGCAGGACCATAGGATGGTTAAGGTGGAGTGGCTAGCGTCACACAACACAGTCCATCGATTGTCATACTAGAGTGTCATGGTTTATATTGTAATTTGTACAGGGACATGAGAAGATGCCAGTAAGTAGTAGCCAGGTTTGGTCAGCTTCAGAACTACAGTCATTCCTCATTGCACTGGTATAACGCGATGGCGCACATTTAGGTTTAACCCAGCCTTCCAAGTCAGTGTCCAACCAGCAATCTAGCCCGCCATGACCCACAAAATGTCCCGGACCCTCAGAGAAACCAGAGCAATATTGTCTGTAAATTTATGACTATGTGAATTATCACCCAAATGATGTGAATTTTTGAGCTAATACAGCTATTAGCAGGTTGCAGTGATGATGAAAGAAACATGTCTTTGTGAAGATGCAACAAAAATTTGACAATGAAAATAGATTAAAAAAAACCTATGATTGCGTTTAGAATAATTACACTTCCTCCATCTTTTTCAGCCACGGTTTTTGTTTGTCATCCTTTTCTCTTCACCTCATTGTGACGTGAGCACAACAATGGCTACTTTCTGCTCTAAAGGGTGTGGTTTGGATTTGAGCACTGTGAAAACTGCTTCTTGAATAATTGGTTCACCCCTACCTAAGCTGTGAGATATCTAAACCACCCATAGCATCATCTATAATAAACGTCTTAGTGCTTAGACCTCACTTCAGAGACAGTTTTTAGCCTCAAGCACACTTATAAACAGTTGCTTCCTAACGAATGTAGATGCTGTTAATTGATTTTTCTATGTTTTCTTTTTATTCTGGGGGAGTGTATCTACATTTATTCATGTCAATTTTAATTATGCATAGTGTGAATATTTATTTATAAAATGGTTCACAAGCATTTCATATCCGCTGCTCTTAATCCATGAAAGAAATAAACTTCTGATTGAAAATTTAAGAAGCTGGATTAGTTTGTTGGTAGCTGTGTTTGACACCTGAGTACTTGAACAGGCTGAATTAGCAGTACTGTTTTTATTTGCCATTGCCAGCATTCAGCTAACAGAGCCAATACTCACTGGATATAACCTTCAGCTACAAGACAAACTCTGTACCAACTGCTTAGTAGTCTTAATTTTGTTCTTTTTACTGCACCACAAGTTTTTTTCCCATCAGATCATCGTTCAAAGCGTCACACACTGCCTCGGCTATTTCATATCCTGCTGCTGTTCCTGTCCTTGTCTGAGTCCTCATTATGGGGGAAAAAGAGGATCCCTTCAACTATACAGGCGTCTGTGGGACTTTGATGTAAATGATCTCACTTCTGGTTTACCAGTTGTTCCTTCCTCGACCTCCTTTAGGAGGATGTTCTCGCCCAAATGTCTGGCCAAGAAAAAATGGCTCCAGTTAAAAGATGCTGAAGATAAAGTCAATCACTTTATTAGACACCTGTTCAGTTGGGTGTTAAGCATAGGGTCGATAGTGTTAAGGAAAACAACGCACCAGCCAATCACATAACAGCAACTGAATTTACTAAGGCCCAGTCCCAATAATAATGCTATCCTGTGGTGCGAGTGCGAAGGGTGTCCCTATTCTTAAGTATGGATCTTGGGCCCACTCCTTTTGCACCTTTGATCTCCATCGTTGAAATCTGCACCATTATGTACAGAACGCTGGGAATCGTCCAATCAGTGAACTCATGGACTGTTTGGCTGAAGTCCAAACATGGATGGCAGAGAACTTTCTGTTTCTGAATGAGAGTAAAACATAGGCAGTGTTGTTTGGACCATATGGTCATCTGGATTCTTCCAAGGTGGATTGTGGTGAGCTTAGTTCCTCCTTTAGTGCCTCAGTGGTCAATCTTGGTGTGAAGATGGACAATGCCATGTGTTTTGATGCCCATATTGGTGCAATGGTATCCTCCTCCTTTTATCATCTGAGACAGTTGGCTAAAGTGAAGCCATTTTTATCTAGTCAGGATCTTGAGACTGTGGTTCATGCCTTCATAACATCATGTCTAGACTACGGCAGCTCTGTTTTATTTGGTGTAAGCCAGTTGCTGTAGCTCGTCTGTAGCTCGTTCAGAATGCTGCAGCGAGATTCTTGGTTGGCAAAAGAAACTTGGATCACGTGACATCTACTATGGCTGCTCTTCACTGGTTTCCTGTTGATTTTAGAATTTGTTTAAGCCCCCTTTTAATGGTTTTTAAGGCTCTGAATGGACTGGCTTCAGTATATTTAGTGGAGTTCGTGCAGCCATATGTTCCTGCTCGAATGCTCCGCTCCAAGAGCTGATTGCTGCTGGTGGCTCCTAGCGCTCCTAAAGACAAGAAGGGATAGGACGTTCTCCGTAGCAGGACCAAAACTGTGGAACGCACTTCCCCTATCTGTTAGGCTCTCTCCTTCAGTAGTCGCTTTTAAAAAGACTCTGAAGACCCACTTTTATCGTTTGGTTTTTAACTCAGTGGGTAAGATGTTGTTGATCTTTTACACGATTTTATTCTCCATTTATGTGTTGGTTTTTGTTGATTTTCTATGTTTTAATTTGTTACTGTGCAGCACTGCCTAATGCCTGTAAGGGGCTCTGTAAATAAAGGTTGATGATGATGAATATTTTATTATTGTGTACACATAAGATTACCACAGTTTCTCTGTTGGAAAGATGCATTACATGTCTGATGAAAAATATTGTTCATTGATAACAGCACCCGTGTGTATTTTCAGAAACATCATGCCTGTAATTTAATCACTTATTTTAATGATATTTCAAGCAGCAGGTTAGCACAAACAGCCATCTCTAAGGTTTACAGAGAATGGTCCAACAAGGAGAGAAAACTTCCAGAAATATTAAAATCCTGGATGTGCAGCTGACAAAGTCTCGACCAAAGTTTGAGGAATTTTTCTGACATGTTGTTGCATTTATAACAAATATTTAAGCAGTAGTGAAAAGATGATCCAGCCCACTGTGTCTTGACACTCGTACGTTTTTAAAAATGAACGAACAAAAAGCTATTAAATATCTGACATTTTAAAGGAGGAGGTATCATTTCAGAAATGACACTTGTGTTTAACATACAAAGCAGCAAAGCTCCGTTTGAATCTCTCAACTCCATTTGTTTGAAACAAACTATTTTAACACACTCGTTCTCTGTATCTTTCCTCACTAGTGTCATGGGTAAGTGGAGCTCCAGCAGCATCATTGGGTGAGACATGGGGGACGCCCTCAGGTTTTCAGTCCACCACAGCCCCTCTTTTATTTTTACACATCATCCTTTTTCTGTCCTGTCCAACGTGCCCCTAAACTCGTCCTCACATACAGATTTTCACTTTCCTCCTCCTGTTCACACACCAGCTGTCAGATTTTAGTTCTGCAACAAGCTATCATTGTATTTCTTTCTTGCTGCCCCATCGCTTCTTTCTCTCCCTGTGTCTGTGTCAATCCGTTGTTTCCCTCGTGTTGTTTCATCCAGAGCTGGTGAAACAAACAGAGAACAGCCTTTGATCTGGCTCCAGTTCCCAGGCCCCATGATCTGTCTATGTGCATTTGTGCGTGTAGGTTTACCCTTCAAGGCTCTGTGGTCATAATGGCTGGAGGTGAAGCTGAATGCGAACTGTGCAATTGACTGTTCCCCCCTCTATCTCTCTTGCTTCCCTTGATTTTCAATTTTTCCAGCAGACACGCACACAGTGTTACACTCATCAAAGTGCTTTGAGACCTCAGAGTGTACGAGCTCAGTCAACAGAACGGAGAGCACAAACAAGCTGACGGGGAAGGAGCTCCCTTGCATGCAGATGCCTGGAGAGAAGGTTAGGGACATCCTAGCATTCAGTGACCTGAAAATTAAAAACCAGGTGACCAGTGTGTGTGTGTGTGTGTGTGTGTGTGCGCGCGCGCATGTGCCATTTCAGAAAAACCTATATTCTCATGCATCATTCAGATCTAAGAACCATCCTCATAAGACAAATGAAAACGTGTATTAATCCTTCTAAACACTGATACATCTTATTGCTCCTGCTTGTATGTGGTCTGTAACATCCAGGACTGGTCAGTTTTCACCTACAGATCGACCTACATGCCACCGGCCATCTGCAGACATAAATTCCATTCTCTAAGGTGGATTTTACATTCTGTCTTCCACCAAGCCCAGAAGATTCTGCAGCTCTGAACACATGACAACATACTGTCAACAAACCGTTCCCGTTTCAAGGCCTAAGCTTCCCTTATCGCTTCTACAGGATTCCTCATACCTCTGAATTTTTAGCTCATAAGTTAAATAATCATTAAATAACAATATGGTTGAATGAACAAATGTGATATGAATACTAATGAAATGTTTTGTTTAATCTGTGCCTAATTCAATGAAGTTGAAATGAATTTTATTATTACAATGAAACATTTTGATATTATGATCAGTAATGTTTGATTTAACAAGTGAATCATTATCTACACTCATACATAATGCCCATAAGATAAAGTTAAAGTAATTTCTGCACATAGATATTTTATTACCCACAAATCAGAGCATCTTGTATCTGAAAGAAGGCGTAAAGTTCTGAGGTTTGTTTGTTAACACCCAGTAGCGGTTTTAGGCACGGGCAGACAGGGCAGTTGTCCGGGGCGGCATTTTTTCATGACACAAAAGGGGCGCACAAGCGCTGAGTAAAAAACAAAAAAGAAAGAAATCTGCGCCGCACCGAGGTTTTCTATTATCTGTCATATCACAGTGTCTGGATTGGAAACAGCAAGTTTGTTTCAGCTTTTCATTTTATTAGTCTCTTTAGTGTGTTTTTTCCCACTGGTGTTTGTAGTTTTACTTCCCCTTAGAATATTAGTTATGTTGCTGCTGTCCTTGTCTTTAGGTTTTTACTCTTTGGTCATGTTGGTTTCTTCCCTGATTAGTTAATTGCTTTCACCTGGTTCTCTTCCCACACACATGCAGCTCATCTGCCTCCCATCATGCCCCAGTGTATAAAGCCCTGTCTCTGTCTCATTGTCTTGTCGGTCCATTGTTTGTGTGTCAGCATTGTTTTGTGCTCTATGTGAGCTTTCGTTGTCCTGGTGTTTAGGACTTTGGGTTTTGGTTTGCTGCCCTTTATGGATTTTTTGGTTCATCATCCTAAATAAAAGGATTTTACTTTTTAATCGCTCCTGCCTCGTGTCATCTGGGATTTCCTGGTGCTCTGGTACCAGGATACCTTAGGCATCAGCTTGATGATTGACTTTGTTGTTGTTTCATCTGACCTGCGGCTGCATGTCTTGTACACTCGGGTGAAGAGAGGGGTCGGAGTTGTCAACTGACCACTACCTGGTGGTGAGTTGGCTCAGATGGTGGGGGAGGATGCCGGTCAGACCAGGCAGGCCCAAAAGTATCGCGAGGGTCTGCTGGGAATGTCTGGCAGAGTCTCCTGTCAGAAGGAGCTTCAATTCCCACCTCCGACAGATCTTCCAAAATGTTCCGGAGGAGGCGGGGGACATTGAGTCTGAATGGACCCTGTTCCATGCCTCCATTGTTGAGGCGGCCGACCGGAGCTGTGGTCGCAGGATCGTCGGTGCCTGTCGTGGTGGCAACCCCCGAACCCGCTGGTGGACACCGGCAGTTAGGGATGCTGTCAAGCTGGAGACAGAGTCCTATCAGGGTGTGTTCAAACTACAGGAGGATCCCACTCCTGAGCCTTCCTGGTAAGGTCTATTCAGGGGTTCTGGAGAGGAGGGTCCATCGTATTGTTGAACCTCGGATTCAGGAGGAGCAATGTGGTTTTCGTCCTGGCTCGTCCTGGGCTCGTTCCCAGTGAGAGTTGGACTCTGCCAAGGCTGCCCTTTGTCACCGATTCTGTTCATAACCTTTATGGACGGGATTTCTAGGCGCAGCCAAGGTGTGGAGGGCATCCGTTTTGGTGGCCTGAGGATCAGGTCTCTGCTTTTTGCAGATGATGTGGTCCAGTTGGTTTCATCAGAATGTGATCTTCAGCTTTCGCTGGAGCGGTTCGCAGCCGAGTGTGAAGCAGCTGGGATGAGAATCAGCTCCTCTAAATCTGAGACCATGGTCTTGATTCGGAAAAGGGTAGAATGCCTTCTCCGGGTCAGGGATGAGGTCCTGCCCCAAGTAGAGGAGTTTATCTCGGGGTCTTGTTCACGAGTGGAGGAAAACTGGAGCATGAGATTGATAGGCGGATTAGTGCTGCATCTGCAGTGATGCAGGCATTGTACTGGTCTGTCATGATGAAGAAAGAGCTGAGTCAGAAGGCGAAGCTCTCGATTTACTGGTCGATCTACGTTCCTACCCTCACCTATGGTCATGAGCTTTGGGTAGTGACCGAAAGAACGAGATCGCGGATTCAAGCAGCCGAAATGAGTTTTCTCCGAAGAGTGGCTGGGCTCTCCCTTAGAGATAGGGTGAGAAGCTCGGTCATTCGGGAGGGGCTCGGAGTAGACCCGCTGCTCCTCCATATAGAGAGGAGCCAGTTCAGGTGGCTCGGGCATCTGGTCAGGATGCCTCCTGGATGCCTCCCTGGTGAGGTTTTTCAGGCATGTCCAACCGGGAGGAGACCTAAGGTAGACCCAGGACACGGTGGAGGGACTATGTCTCTCACCTGGCCAGGGAACGCCTTGGGATTCCCCCGGAGGAGCTGGCCCAAGTGGCTGGGGAGAGGGAAGTCTGGGCCTCTCGCCTTAGGCTACTGCTACTGCCCCTGCGACTCGACTCCGGATTAGCGGACGAAAATGGATGGATGGATGGATGGATGGATGGATGAAATAAATTTCTTACCTTTTATAAACCTGACTCTGTCTGAATTTATAAGAAGTGTGGTTGATTCCTGAAAAAGCAAAGAATCCTAGAATCTTCTGATAAAACATCCAGAAACCAAGCAGGTTGATATTCTTTATTTATATAGAATATCACATTTTATTGGTCATAAATAAAGGTAATATATTAAACTTAAAAGCAAGAACATTTACCCCCTACATGGTCCAAAGACAGCAGCTATCATGAACTTGGTACAATGGAGCTGCACAATCTGATTACACTGGGTGAGCTCCAACGTTTGGATGTGTTTGACTATCTGGATGTGAAGCGGAGAGTTGGCAAAAAAAAAGTGTGAGTGTGCTATGCTGAATTTATAGATAAAGGTAGGAAAAAGAAGAAAATCAACCAACTCTATTGGATCAGAAACCAAAACAACAAAACATTCTTCTAATCTGCATTAGCAGATTGACATTTCATACTCATGGGTGATAAAAGAGTGTTAATTTCTCTTAGGTGTAACGTCTTATCATCAAAAACAGAAACACTTTTGAAAACATGTTTTACGCCAAAAGATTATCAAAGATTATTTGACATTTATTTATTTGTGTTGCTGTATTTTGTGCAAAACCAGAATGCAAAAAGAAGAAATTGTCCTGAATCCTACAACTTACCATCAGACCACCTCATGGCGTCGTCCAGTTGGGCCGGCAGCCCCTTCCAGAGGATGCTTTCCTTGGGGTAACCCAGGTCCATGCGTCTCAGATGGTCATCATAGCGCCAGAAGTGTTTGTCCTTAAAGAAGTAGGTTTTATCGTTGTGTAGCCAAACGAAAGCTGCATCCACACCCTCCGTGGGTAGGCCAAAGTCACTGATTGGACGGGGGTAACCTTCCTCCACTATGTTGTCTTTGAACACCCAATACTTTAGACCTAAAAATAAGTGGGAACAGTGAGAATTATAGTCTAGCTTTTAGCTGGAGTAGATTTATTAGATCACTTAAGCAATGAGAAACAAGGGGGGCGGAGGGTTGCAAAAAAAAAAAAACCAAGCATCAGAAATGGCCCCTGGGCTGCTCTTCGGACATGCCTGCTTCAGCACTTCAGGGAGCTTTGTCTGGCCACCAATAGGTACAGTTCTCTTTCTTAACATTCGTTTCGATGTCTCACTATGGGATACGCCCCTCCGCGGATTCCTCAGAAGCACTTATCTCAATACGCCAATCCTGATTGGCCAGTGACCGTGACGTACGCGTCCCCATGCTACTATAAGTAGCAAGCGTCCCAACGCACGCACTATTCAATCACCTCTTCTCGCTTCGGTGGTCGCTTATCTCTGAGGTAAGTTAGCTCAACTGTTCACAGACGGAGCCTTCTAATATTCTCTCCGTCGCCGAACGTTAACTTACCGTCCTTCTGTCCTGGCCTTCACCATAGGCTCGGGGCATAACGAGCAGCTTCACACTCCAGTGCATCTGTTCGTTCTCTGCTAACACACCAGTTAGCCTACATGGAAGCCGCTCCTCCCACCAGAGGAGTCGACGGCGCAGGAGCTCGCCTCTGTACCTGTGGGAACAAAATCTCAAGCACAGACCCGCACAAGGTCTGCTCGAGCTGCCTCGGGCTGGAACACGCCCAGCTGGCATTGGAAGTCCCCGGGTCATGTGAGAGCTGTGCTTGCTTCACCCTGAAGAGCCTTCGCCGGCGGCTAGCGCGCCAAGCTAGCCTGTCGGGGAAGGACCCTTGCCTGCCGGCCCCTGGGCCACCGCCTGGGGACGCCAGCGAACATGTCCTCCCGGAGCCGGAACCGTGTGCCGAACTCAGCTGGGGCTCACAGCTCGAACCGGCCGGTCCGAGCCACTCCGTCGAGGACGTGTTGGAGTTGGACTACGGAGACGACGGGGGCACCTCGGAACTCCTCATTTCAGAGGAGGACGAGGATGACGACGTCTTTCTCCCCATCGCTCAGGCCTCCATGCCTAGCTTTCCGTCCTCTCCCAGGGATGGAGCGGCTTCCCCGGCCGCCCACCTGGACATGCAGTCAGTCTGCCGACGCGCTGTGACCAGGCTCAACATCCCTTGGCCCACCATGGTCACTGAGGCTGTCAGATCCCGCTACGAGGGAAAGAAGCTGCCTCAGGCCACAAGAGCGGCAAAGCCCCTCCTTCCTGCCTTCCCGGAGCTTCTCCAAGAAGTGAGGTCCTCCTGGGACAAACACCCTTTCAGCTCCAGGTCTCCTGTCCAAGGAGCCTCCTCGCTGGACTTCGAGGGGATGGAGAAGGCTGGCATGCTTCGCATGCCGCCGATGGAACCGCTGGTTGCATCCCACCTGCACCCACGGCTCTCGGCAACTTCCTCCAGGCCTCCCGCTCTCCCCGCGAAGGCGGACCGCTTCCAGTCGGCGCTGAACGAGAGGGCGTACAAGGCTGCCGCCATCTCCGCCCGAGCTTTGAATGTCTCCTCCATGCTCTCGGCGTACCAAGCCGAGCTCTGTGAGGACATGAATACGAAGCCGGACCCGGAGGTGTGGGAGGAAATCACTGTACTGACCGACATCTGCCTGCGTGTGCAGCGCTGCGCGGTCCAGGCCACGGGAAAAGCTATGGGCATGATGGTGCTTCAAGAACGTGCACGATGGCTGAACCTCTCCAACCTCTCTGATAGAGAGAAGGAGGACATTTTGGACATGCCAATCGTGCCTGAAGGCATTTTTGGCTCTGCCCTGGCATCAATGCAGCAACGGTGTGAGGCCAAAAAGAAAGAGGATGAAGCCCTTCATCTCTGCCTTCCCCGTAAGCCCTCACCGGCGCTGCCGGCTCGGCCGAACCTTCCTCAGGCGGCTGTCCGAGCCCAGCCTCAGTTCTGGATCTCAAAGCGCCCGAAGCCTCAAGCTGTCCAACCAGCTCCTTCGGGTTCAGCGCCTCGACCAGTTTGTCCTCAGAGATCCGGCAACCAAGCCGCTCCGCCGCCGGGACAACCCACCCGACCCGGCGGTCAGCAGGTGAGGAAGAAGAAGAGGGAAGCCTGACGGAGTTCTTTCCCTCCAGACGCTGCAGCTGGCAGTTCCCCGTTCGCCAGCTCCTCCTGTTCGATGTTGCCATGGTGCCTTCTCCCCCCCCTCACGGAACCCCTCCGGCAGAGTCCCCGAGCGGTTCAGGGTGGGGCCAGGACGTGCAGCCGGCTGTGCCGGCTCAAAACACACGTCACAAGCACTCACATTGTTTTTCACAAACATGTCACGCTCAAGGAGCATTAAAAAGTTCGCTGCCGCATCCAGACAAAATGTCAAGGGCGCAGCAAAAATCAATAAAAATGTTGCCCATGAGCATTTCCAGGCGTGGGCGGCCCCTGGCGGACTCATCCGCCAGTCACGGGTCGTCCCCGTACGCCTGGGCCGTCAAAGCACAAAGCTCCCGCGCATGCGCAGTGGTTGCCACGAGCACCGCTGCCCCACAACCTCTGGAGGGAGCTGCTGCTCCGTGTGTCACGGCTGTGTCACCGCTCTCCACTCACATGGAGGAATGGACAGCGGTTTCTGCTTCACATTGGGTGCTGAGAACTATTTCGAGAGGTTACAGGCTCCAATTCGCTTCTGTTCCTCCTCGATTCTCCGGCGTAGTGTTCTCCCACGCCCAGGGGACGTCAGCTCACATCCTTCAGGGAGAAATCTCCTCCCTGCTGGAGAAGGGAGCGATATGCATTGTGCCTCCCGATCGGTCTCAGAGCGGTTTCTACTCCAGGTACTTCCTGGTCCCGAAACGGGGAGGGACCGGGATTCGCCCGATCCTGGATCTGAGGGCCCTGAACCGATGCCTCAGAAAGTACAGATTCAAAATGCTCACGCTCTCATCCCTTTTGCGTCTGATTCACCAGAACGACTGGTTCACCTCAATCGACCTGAGGGACGCATACTTTCATATTCCCGTGTACCCTCCACACAGGAAATTTCTGAGGTTTGCCTTTCAGGGAGTGTGTTATGAATACACCGTGCTCCCATTCGGCCTCTCGCTGAGCCCGAGGGTGTTTGTCAGGTGTACGGAGGCAGCGATCGCCCCTCTGAGAGGGAGGGGCATTCGGCTGGCCACGCATTTAGACGACTGGCTCCTGCTGGCACGGTCCAGAGAGGAGACAGCGTCAAACACGCTGGTTGTGATCCATCACTTGTGTGGTCTGGGTTTCAGAATAAACTGGCAGAAAAGCGCTTTACTCCCCTCCCAGAAAATAACCTTTCTAGGTCTGAATCTGGACTCAGGGACGATCACGGCCCGTCTCTCGACACCGCGCGTGAACGCGCTCTCGCTCTGCCTGGCGCGCTTCCGCCTACACAGTTCGGTGCGGTTTGCGTTATGCCTCAGGCTTTTGGGTCTCATGGCGTCGGCTATTTCAGTGGTACCACTCGGCCGTCTACACATGAGAGATTTTCAACGCTGGGTGGCTTCTCTGGGTCTCTCTCCAGTGCGCCACAGAGCGCGCAGGGTGACGGTCTCTGCAGCGTGCGTCGCGGCGCTCCGCTGTTGGCGTCACCCCTCCCTCTTGGCACAGGGGGTGCCTTTGGGGTTGGTTCTCGTGAGGAAAGTGGTCACGACAGATGCGAGCCTGTCAGGTTGGGGGGGGGCTCCTGGAGGGTCGCTCTGTCAGGGGTGTGTGGAGCAGAGAGCTCTGGGGGACACACATAAATTATCTGGAACTCCTCGCGGTCTTTCTAGCCCTGAGGCGCTTCCTGCCTTTTCTCTCCGGCCATCATGTCCTAGTGAGAACAGACAACACCACGACTGTGGCTTATATAAACCGCCAGGGGGGGGCTGCGCTCCGTGCGGTTACACACGCTGGCACGCAGACTGATCCTATGGTGCAGCAGGCATCTCCTCTCAATCAGAGCCACCCATGTCCCGGGTGTTCTGAATCGGGGGGCGGATCTGTTGTCCAGAGGGACACCCCTGTACGGGGATTGGAGCCTGCATCCAGCAGTGTTGGAACAGATTTGGATCCGGTTCGGCACAGCCGTAGTGGATCTTTTTGCCTCCAAGGAGAATGCTCAGTGTCCTCTGCGCGACCGAGACGCTCCACTCGGCGTGGACGCGCTGGCGCACGACTGGCCACGGGGACTGCTTTACGCTTTTCCCCCAGTGGCCCTGATACCACCCACCTTGCTGAGGGTACGAACCCAGCGCCACACTCTCATTCTGGTGGCCCCATACTGGCCAGCCATGCATTGGGTGGTGGACATTTTCCAGCTCCTGGAGGGCCAACCTTGGAAACTGCCGCTTCGCAGGGACCTGGTGTCCCAAGCGGGAGGCTCGATCTTCCACCCTCATCCAGAACGGCTGGCCCTGTGGGCCTGGCCCCTGAGGGGTGTGGGCTAGTGTCAGCAGAGCTGCCCCAGGCAGTCATTCGAACCATTCAGAATGCTAGGGCCCCCTCCACTAGGTCCCTATATGACTGTAAATGGAGGGTGTTTGAAGCCTGGTGTCAGGGCAGGGAGGTCTCACCCTTCCAATGCCCGGTGAATGTCATTCTGTCTTTCCTGCAAGACTTGTTGGATGGGAAGAAGGCTTTCTCCACCATTAAAGTGTACCTAGCAGCCATTTCCGCCCGACACTTGGGTTTTGGGAAGAAATTGGCAGGTCAACACCCCCTGGTGTGTAGCTTCATGAAGGGCGCGCGCAGGCTTCTCCCTGTGTCTCGACCCCTGGTGCCCTCATGGGATCTGTCCTTGGTGCTGTCGGCCCTCTCCGGGCCTCCATTTGAGCCTATGGACGGCCTGGACCTTAAGACCCTGTCTCTTAAGGTGGTGCTACTCCTGGCTTTGGTATCTGCAAAGCGAGTTAGTGACTTACAGGCTCTCTCTGTGCACCCATCCTGCACACAGTTTGCACCAGGTGACATGAAGGTGTCCTTGAAGCCCAACCCTGCCTTTGTGCCTAAGGTGGTGGGCTCCTTTTCTCCTATTATCCTCACAGCTTTCTACCCACCGCCCTTCTCCTCTCCTGAGGAGGAGCGGTGGCACAAGCTGTGTCCGATTCGCGCGCTCAAGGAGTATGTGAATCGGACAAAGAACCTTCGCAGGGGGGACCAGCTTTTTGTGTCATGGGGTGGGCCTCGTAAGGGGAAACCCGTCACAAAGCAGAGGCTTTCCCACTGGATTGTGGAGGCTATTTCTATGGCTTACTCCTGTCAGGGCATTCAGGCTCCTGTTGGGCTCAGGGCCCATTCTACTAGGGGCCTGTCTGCTTCTTGGGCCCTTTTTCGGGGGCTGTCAATCCAGGAGATTTGTGCTGCAGCAAGTTGGGCTTCTCCACTTGCATTTGCACGCTTCTATAAGCTTGATGTTTCGGTCCCTGCAATGACTCACACGATTCTGAGTGTGGGGTCTTTGGCGGGCCAAGACATATCCCTGTAGGTTGGTGATCGCTGGATAAGCTGTCTGGCAATACGGGAGTCTCTATATCCCATAGTGAGACATCGAAACGAATGTTAAGAAAGAGAACTTTAGGTTACTGTCGTAACCCCGGTTCTCTGAGTAACATGAGTGAGATGTCTCACCAGACAACCCTTCTTGCTGGGCGAAGCGAGAAGAGGTGTTTATCTTGAATAGTGCGTGCGTTGGGACGCTTGCTACTTATAGTAGCATGGGGACGCGTACGTCACGGTCACTGGCCAATCAGGATTGGCGTATTGAGATAAGTGCTTCTGAGGAATCCGCGGAGGGGCGTATCCCATAGTGAGACATCTCACTCATGTTACTCAGAGAACCGGGGTTACGACAGTAACCTAAAGTTTTATACTTGGTGAGATAAGAACCAAGGTTACAAGCTAATACATGGTGGGCAGGTGGAATCCAAAAGGGTTTAAGGAAAAATGATCAAAAAAAAAAAATCAAACGGACACCAGGAACGGGTCACATCAACAGAGAATCTAACAAAGAGGCAGAGACACCAAGTACTACATAAACAGCTGATTATTACGCCAGACACAGTGTGTGAATGGAAGCAATTCTAGAATGGTAAAAAATGAGACGTTTCACAACCAGAATCCTTTGAATTTTAAAGATGAATCTCACGATTTAGTTAGGCTTTTAGTCCCCAGTGCACACCAGGAGCATCTACGGCACATTATGGCAATGGCAGGGCTGACCCCTTTTGAACCTTTCCATGCGTGAGAGCGGGGCAGACCGCTTCAGTCTTATTAGCTGGTGGGGTGGGGGTTTGGGGGATGTTGGTGTGCTCCAATTCGATGCGAGCTGGTAGCCCTGCAGCTGCGGCACATCTCTGTGGCAAATTGAGACCGTTCTAGACTATGGTTTGATTCACACCAGATGTAGAGCGGAACATTCCAGGCGTGTCCCAGAAGGGTCTTTGCTGTGCTACTTCAGGGATCAAGCTCTGTAGTTAACATAAGGCAAGAGAGGAAATCACACATGGTACTCGTGTGGAGCATCTGGTTAATTTCAAAATAAACAAACTATTGCATGGTTGTTAAAGCCATACTGTGCAACATTTTCATAATTTTAAATCATTTTCTTGAGCCAGTATGTAATAAAATCACCCTTTACAGGGTCAATGAAATGTCGCTCATACCCCTCTGTGGCCAGAATGTTGAACTTGCAACTTTAGAGTGGCGGCCGCTCCCTGTTAGACTTAGTAAAGTGGAGCAGACATGACTGGTGCTGGAGTCTGCTTCTTGCATGTTTTAGTATGTGAACACAGCTGATTGTTTTTTTATTTAGTGATGAATCACTCCTGTAGAACCTAATAAAGGCTGAGGAGACGTTTCAGCTGTTAGATTAAGGTTTTAAAAAGAAGAACGCACAATGAGGAGATAGGTTTCACTTTTGGTTTCACTAATAGACACTAGGGGGTGCTAAAAGCAAGCCGAAACTGCCTAGTGTCCCTTTACATTATCTTTAAATGATAAATGACCCACACTTGAATAGCGCCTTTCAGAGTAAGGACTCCAGAGCACTTTACACTACAGTGTATCAGTCATCCATTCACACACACATTCACACACTGATGGTGATGAGCTACGATGTAGCCACAGCTGCCCTGGGGCGCACTGACAGAGGCGAGGCTGCTGAGCACAGGTGCCACCGGTCCCTCCGACCACCACCAGCAGGCAAGGTGGGTTAAGTGTCTTGCCCAAGGACACAACAGCAGAATTCTCTGTCCGGAGACGGGATCGAACCTGCAACCTTTCAATTACTGAACAACCCGCTCAACCTGTTGAGCTATAGCTGCCCACTGCCCCCTTTACCAGTGACCACATGGCTAATTTGTTTTCTGCATCTTTTGAGGGAAGCATCTACGTGTTTTTCAGCATAAACAAAGTTTTTAACCTGGCAGAGGAGAATCACAACATTATTAATAACATAACACAACAGTTTTACAAAGACAGCACCAAAAAGCAGAAGGTATGGAGCAAAATATCATCAATTAACAGAGTGGGTGGTGAGTTTAAAAATAGTATAGAAAAGGTTAATTTAAAGCATACAACACCAATTTTCTCATGATTTCATGATCTTTCAAGTCCAACTACACAGACAGCTACTCTGCACCTGACACACTGCTGAACTCGCAGGCAAACCAAGCTGCTGCACACTCGGTGTGAATTGGGGGTAGAAAGAGTAAAATGTCTTATGGCATTATCAAATTTTTTTTTTGAAACTTTACCTTTAAAGAACACAATTTTATGGTCTCCGGGGCGCTCATATACGGCATCAATGCTGTCCAGGTTGGTCGGAAGTCCCCTCCAGAATCGATGGATCTGAGCAGGTCGCAGAGACACCAGGTGCTTCTCTCTGGTTAGTCGCCAGAAATATTTTCCTGTCCGGAGCAGAACACCACAGAACAAAACTTTAAAGCAATTAAAATGGTTAGAATATGTGACATTTTTGTTCTTTTTAATTCAAACTGTACTAATTGTTTGTTTTATTTAAAATAATCAATTAACGCAAATGTCCTGTTTTGCGGTTTTGTCTTTTCTTGACGAAACTTAAATCAAAACAGACAACATCTGACAGAAACCACAAAGTTAACATTTGGAGGAACAATTGTGGACGCCAGATAAAGTTTGAAACTATGCAGACATGTCAGGCTGCTGATATTAAAAAGGTGTTGCAGGAATGATTGCGTTACAAATTATTTTCATCTGGCAAGAAAAGCCCTCGTCTTCATTACACATCAGCTTAATCAGCATTCAAACAAACTGCGGCAGCGATGCATAAACTTTTAATTGTTACATTAAAAATAAAAGGTCTTTGAAAGTAAACGTCAGCTAAAGTTCAGCACACTTCACCGGCACTTCTGCCGCTGAAAGTTTGAGTCTGCTTCTTGTTTCTGTTGTCAGTGGGAGCTTGGGGGTCATTCCTCCAGAGGGCAGGCATGAAAGCCTGATGTAATTTTTGGACTGCAGTCTTTAAGCAGCTCAACGGCCTCAGCTGGGCGTCTACACCTCCCCACTCTATCATTCCTACCCAGTTTTCTTGCTCTCTTCCTTTATTTTTGTGCTCTTCCTTCTTTTCCCACTCATTTAGCTTACCACTCGTTATATGTCCCACATTGCTCTGCAGCTTTGTGGCCATATATCTCCCCTTTATATTTGTTGTATACCTTTGAAAAAGAAGGCTTCCCCTCGTATCTGGGCCACTGCATCGAAGTGACTCGTGCATCTGTCTGGGCCATCTCGAGCCAGCCTGAGAGAGAAGCAGGAATCAATTAAAAAGTGGGACAACTGGAGCTTTTTTTGAGTAAAACTGGACATTTATACACATTTAATATCTATTTTTAATGCTGTTCCAGCACTTAACACTTTTACAGATCTATTTCTCCAACATTAACCCAAATGCCATACAAGCTACGGGATGCCTGTGCATGAATAAGTGATTGCCAGTTCTAAACAAAGGAGAAGTACCTATCAGGCAGTGAGATCCCTGGGTGCATTTATCCCCAGGGTTTTTTAAGTGATTTAAAGCTCTGACGTGGTCTGCCTGCCAATGACAGAGCCATTACCACCACAGGGCTGAGTGTGTGAGCCCGCCAGCCCTTATATCACCAACAAGGGTCTCTATTCAGAGCTCTATTAAAACTACGTACATCGCTGCCTAGTGGACGGATTGGTGCCCTTGTCAAGACTAATCTGGCTGTCTCACTCATCACGGCACCGTGAAGTTAGCAGGAAGTAATTAATGAAGCCACTGATGGGTCTGAAGTCTGGGAAACTGGGTTAAGAATATAGGCTGTAAATGTAGTCCTCACTGTACCCATAGATGAGTGTGCTTTGTGATATCACTGGTTGTTGCAGACTTTGAATATGGAAACTATTTTTAAGATTTATGTTGCAAAATCTCAAAAGCGGGTTTAAGTTTAGAATCAAAACATTTTCGTGTAAAATTTAAATGTAGAACTTTAACGAGTGATGGTCTGAGCCTCAAATATGCAGATTTGTGTCAGATAAAAAAAAAAAATCAATAAAATAAATCAGGAGTCTAAAGCCTAGTTTATGCTTCTGCATCAGCTCCACAGGAGCGAGACAGAGATGTTTTGGACTCGGACGTCTCCTGGGGAGACAAAGCAATTCCCCTCCAGGAATTGTGGGGTACCCTCTCATCTATCCGGTCATAGATATTGCATTTACTATAGTGTTTATATTGCTTTTTTGTATATCAGATACTTTTTTTTAAACACGGACAAATATGTCTTTCATTCTCCTCCATCTCTTCATTCTCTGGAATGATCTCCCGCTGAATATCAGACTCTCCTCCTCCATTGGGGTTTTTAAGTCTCACTTAAAGACTTATTTTTATTCCCTTGCTTTTACTGCCTAGCAATTTTATCGCTGGTTTATTTACACTGTTCTTTTACTGATTTTATTGACTTCTCTTGGTTGGTTCTTTGTGCTATGCTCTAGTTGTTTTATTCTTTTATATTATTCATTTAACCTTACATGTTTTTACCACTGTACAGCACTTTGGTCAGCTCACATGCTGTTTTTAAATGTGTTTTATCAAATAAATGGAATGGAATTCACCTGCCACCTCTAAACCCACGTTTCCCATCATTTCCATCCACGAATAAACTGCTCGCTGCATATCTTTTTACTCATCCAGTCATGGGTGAATAAAACGTTCATATTTTCATATTCTTCTGCTGCGTATTCCTCCAAGCTGCTCCATGTCTGCTGCTAGATATCTTTGGCTCCCTTTATGTTTTTGAGGGTGGTGTGGTTGACAAAAGCGGCGTCCTGACCAATCACAAGCTTGCGTTCTTCGTCTCGTTCGGCGGATGTTTAGAAAAGTGGGCTCTGTCTGTTCTTGTGAGGGCTTTCCAGCAGGCTAACAAGGACGGATAAAGGCATTGCGTGTTTCCATGCCGACGCAGATGCAGAAGCATAAACTAGGCTTTAGTGAGAAGAATCACACAACTCTTACTAAAACATGTACAAGAGAGCAACACACTAACGCTGGATACTTTTACAGGTCTTGTGGGGACAAAGGTTTGACTAGTTGTCTCTGCGTGAGGGAGATAACAGCTAAGCAGTTCAGTTATGAGATCACAGCATTTAAAAGGTACAAGAAGCAAGAATGACATCCTGTGGTCAAATTTAGGTATTGCAGCCCATGGTTCAAAACAACTGACACCAATCTCAGTGCCTCACTCCCACATGTTCATAAATTCTATGCTGGTTGCCAGTTATGGATCAGCACCAGCAGGTTCTAGATGTCGAGTCATTCAAAGTAAGCTGATAAGCAAATAATTCACTGTAATATCAAGATTTTGGTAATTGAAAAAGTACCTTTAGATGTTTTAGAGCCAACTGTTTCTGATTCACCGTTAGCATTGTTAGCTCAATGTTAGCTCAATGGTAGCCTCTAGTCTAGCCTTTTTAAAACATAAGGATGCCGTGGCTTTTTCGGGTTACAATAAACATCTTCTGGGTCGCTCCTGTTTACTGGTTTTGGTTCTTTAAAGAGGTCCTTTTTTGAGAAATCATTGTTTCCCTATTATTTTTGAAAATGATTGGTCATTCTGAGTTTAACATGCAGGTTGAAAGTGAATATTATGTCCTACACCTATTTTCTGTATTAGCTTCTGAAAGAAAATAAACAGTGAAACGCTAGGATTTGAAAAGCCTGACAGATGACAGAGGAGGGAAACACACTTTGTCCTCTTAAATACTCTCCCTCATAATTGTATTCACCTGTGCATGGAGGTCAAGGGTCACTGAGCTTAAACTAATATTGAGTTCCAATAATTAGTTCAAAGGTTTTGGAGTCAATAAAATGACAACAGTGCCCAAATCTATGCACCTGTCTAATTTTGTTTAAATCATTATTGCACACTTTCTGTACATCCTATAAACTACAAATTTTCACATCTCAAATATCACAGTGTGTGTCCTGAAAATGTTTATGGTAACTACCAACGACTTTTACAGAAAAATCATGAAGATTAAAAACACTGCCCAAACTTTCGCACTTGTGTTAGAGACTCAAGTAAACTTGATAGTGTCCTAACTTTGGTTTCATATGGAAAACCATAATGGTCATTAAAGGGTTGTTTGATTGTGCAGGAGAACAGTATGTGCATGTACGTGTTTGTTAATTCAAACCAATAGAAATATCAAACAGCTCTATTTGTGCTTGTATAATATGCCTCGAATTGGCTGCAAATTCCAGATTTCTACAGCCTCAATTTACTTTTATTGACATTCCTGTCTGCTGCGCTCCCCAGGCAGTGTCAAGCTGAATAAAAATTTACTAACTGAATACTAAAAGGTGTGGATTTGCAACAGACTGGTGATGCAAAACCTCTGTGTTCCAACTAAAAAGTCTCCTTGAGATTATGCAGGTTGCTGAAATGGATTTCTGAGCGTTATGGTGTTAGACGTGAAGGTGCATTTTTATAGCATCCTTATATACTTACAGGATAGTGGATCTGTTTTCAGGAAGATCAAGCAGGACAGGAGGCTCAGGCGTCTGAGATGGGCGGCCTGGTTGATTTGTGTGAGACACAGAGTCTCTGACACCTACAGGATCATAACAAATACTGAGTAAAAACAACACACTCTCCCCATGTCCGTATTTCTCTTTGCTTTTTCCTGTTTAAAGGTGAGGTGGGATAAGGTCATATACTGTAAAGGCACCCAATTAACTTCATCCATGTTTTTATTAAATCAATATCCTGACTCTATGAAGCTCATCAGCTGCAGCGTCCTGCACAAGGAGACCTCTGTGTCTCAATACACAGATGTTCCTACTGCTGCACTGACCGACTGCATAATGACAGCAGAGGCTCATAAGTCAAGACCGGAATAGAATGACTGAGTGATGGTGCTCGTGGGTTAGGGAACTGATTATTCGGCCATGGAATAATAAAGTTAGTAGCTGTGACATCAGTGATTAGTGGGAAACATGCAGGTTTATTGAGGTGCAAAGAGGTGAAGTACAGAATTAAAGCATTCGTGAATTAAACAGATTTTATATGTGGTGTTATTTCAAATCGTTAAGGTGTTCTTGAATTGCAAACTAAAACTAAAGTGTTGTGTTTGTCAGTGTTCTGGCCAGTCAATGTCACAAGAAGAACTCAGCTTCGAGTCAAAGACATCAGAGTATTGAAAGCGTGCATTATTTTAATGGCGGGGTTGTGTTAACCATTTCAGATTACTGCCAGATTGATGAGATGATTGCTATTTAGGATGAGAGGAGATCTAGATTCTGTTAAAAAAAGTAATATTATATCTGTGTATTCTGTTTGGAACACACTAATTCAATTATTTAATGAAAAAAGAAATGGAGATGCAACTCATCCCTCAAGACACGCACACAAAAAAAAAATCTACCAATAACCTGAAGTACCCTTTGCACACCACTTGGTGGCAGACATGCCGACATCATTAACATAAAAAAACAAACATTGACATAACATTCTGACAGGTACATTCACTGCAGTTTCTCTATTCCTCCTGCTATCTGCTCCATGTCAGAATCACAAAGCAAACAACACTACGGTCATTGTCGGTAACATGATGGCACCTGTGCTTGACTTAGATGCAGTCACCGGCCACTTTTTCAAGCTTTTCTCCACTAACCTCCTCTTTTCCACCTTGCTCCTGTCTGCGATCCTCTTCAGTAGTGTCCCTGCTACCATCTCCTATGACTGCCAGACTCTTTTTGTCCTTCGGTTCGTTCACGATCACCCAAGATGCACTGAGGACGTACCTCCCTGTTTGTCTGTTTGAGTGGCGCACTGGCTCAGAGCCAAACGACGATTACAACCAGGGCGCCTCCAGCGATGTTTATCCGGTCGCGGGTAAACGTCGGAGGAAAAGAGGTAAACGAGCAGGAATCCAGGTGAGAATAAGACTTCTCAAAGCGTGGTTTATCTAGTAAACATCGGCGTGATCTTATAGCTTCTTTTCCTTTGATTGGCGATCTGAGCGCCACTTCCGCATTCCTGCCAGGCCGCGTTGCGGTGCGGTTTCTCTGTCCAAGGTTTTTAAGGTCGGTTCATCTTCAATCCTCAGTGGTTTCTCCTCCTGTTCCCTCCATAAGTGGTTTTTATAAACACCGTGGATCTAACCCTGCTAATTTACATCCACTAACTCCAGCTGTTTCTGTAGTTTCTGATTCCTCCACCTCACTCAGCATGGCTCTATTAAATACCCGCTCTGTTAACAATAAGTCCTTCCTGCTCAATGATTTAATTCTCTCTAAAAACTTGGATTTTCTGTTTCTGACTGAAGTTTGGCAGCAAACATCTGATTATTCTGGTCTGATTGAACTTTGCCCGAGTGGTTATTCATTCTTTAGCAAGCCCCGGGGTTCTGGTCGAGGTGGAGGCCTAACTGTTGTTTTCAGAAACCATCTTCCATGTAGCTCTACAACCTCTGGTCACTTTGCTTCTTTTGAACTGCAGCTGATTAAAGTCGGGCGTAAGGACCCGTTCTACTGTGCTGTGGTCTATGGTCCACCTGGTCCAAACAGTTCTTTCCTTCAGGAGTTTAGTGACTTTCTATCCTCCACTGTGAAGCTGTCCAGACTGGTGATTGTTGGTGACTTTAACATCCACGTTGATGATCCCTCTGATCACTTTGCCATGAATTTCTCCAGTCTTATGGACTCCTTTGGCTTTACCCAGCATGTTTCTGGCCCCACACACACCAGGGGGAACACTCTAGACCTTGTTTTTACCCTGAGTCTAAATGCTGACAGTGTTTGTCCTGAGGACATTTATGTTTCAGATCACCATTGCATTTTCTTTAACTTGTCAGTTTCTGCGTCCCCACCTCCTGCTCGCCATATGGTTCGTTCTCGTTTTCTTGTAAGCAAAGCTAGCAATTTTTCTGCTGCTTTTGATCCACCCTGTTCTTCTGATAACGACCCAGATTCCTTAACTTCTCAGTTTAACGAGCACTGCCTCTCCATTCTGGAAAACATCTGTCCTGTCAGAACCAGATCAGTTCCTGCAGTGAACCCTACTCCCTGGTTTAATGACAGCCTTTGCAGCCAAAAGTGCCAATGCAGAAAAATTGAGCGCTTGTGGAAGAAAACCCACCTCCACGTCCATCTGCTGCACCTAAAGGATCTTCTGACATCCCCTAACTCTGCAGTCACAGACGCTAGGGTTTCCTATTTCTCCAACCTGGTGTCCCAGAGCAAGGTGCTTTTCAACACCATCAGCAGTATCGTCTCTCCTGCCTCTCCTTCAGCCTCCATCCACTCTGTTGCAGACTGTGAGAACTTTCTGTCTTTCTTTGTGGACAAAGTTAATAAGGTCAGATCTACCATCTCTCCTTCAGCCTTATCTCTGCCTGTCCTGACTCCAACCAGGCCCATCATCCTAGATAGCTTTGCTCCTGTTTCTTTGCCTGAGTTAACCTAACTAGTTAACTCTATGAAGACCTCTGCATGTCTCCTCAGCATCTTACCCTCATCTTTGTTTAAAAGTGCTTTTCAGTCCATCAGTCCCAGCGTGCCCTCTATAATGAATGCTTCTCTGGTTTCTGGTCAGGTTCCTGCTTACTTTAAGAATGCAGTAGTCCACCTGCTTCTTAAAAAACTGAGTCTTGACCCCTCTCTTCAGAGCAGCTTCAGACCCATCTCTAAACTTCCGTTCATCTCCAAGATCTTGGAAAAGGTTGTGGCTAAACAACTCACAGCTGCTCTTGATGAACATAACATCTATGATAGCTTCCAGTCAGGTTTTCGTAGAGCTCATTCTACTGAAACCGCTCTTCTTAGGGTCTCTAATTACCTTCTGACTCACAGTGATGCAGGGGATTGTTCTGTTCTGGTCTTGCTGGACCTGCCTTCAGCCTTTGACACTGTTGACCATCACCTGCTACTGGAGATGCTGAGAGACTAGGTAGGCCTATCAGGAACTGCTCTGAAGTGGTTCCCCTTGTATCTTTCTAAGCACTCCTTTTCTGTGGCCATCTCCATGTTTAGGTCCTCCACCACCTCCCTTACCCATGGTGTCCCACAAGGTTCTGTGCTCTTCCTCCTCTATCTGCTTCCTCTTCAGCACATTTTGAGCTCCTTCGAAGCAATCTCCTACCATCTTTGTGCAGATGACATCCAACTGTACATCTCCTTTAAGCCCCATGAGATGTCTAAGCTGCAGCTGTTACACACCTGCTTAGACTCCATCAAAACCTGGATGGCTGGGAGCTTTCTACAGCTGAATGAAGATAACACCGAGATCCTCATCTGTGCCCCAGACAAGCTGGTTCCCAAAGTCGGAGACTCTCTTGGTCAGCTTGCTTCCCACACCAAACCCTCTGTCAGGAATCTTGGTGTGACCTTTGACCCGGCTCTCACCCTGGATTCTCATGTCAGTTCTCTTGTTCACTCTTCCTTCTTCCATCTCAGGAACATTGCTAAGCTGAGTCCCATTCTGTCCCACTCTGAACTTGAGACAGTTATCCACACCTTCATCTCCTCACGCTTAGACTACTGTAACTCTCTTTTCACGTGTCTGAGCAGAACCTCCCTGAACCGTCTACAGGTGGTTCAGAATACCTGTGCTCGGCTTCTGACCAAGTCCTTCAGATACACCCACATCATCCCGCTTCTCCTCCAGCTTCACTGGCTGCCAGTCAACTTCGGGGTTCGTTTCAAGATCCTGGTTCTGGTCTATAGGGCCTTACATTACATTGGTGGTCTTCTTAGTCCCTACACCCCCAGCAGGTCCCTGAGGTCCAGTGATCAAAGCCTACTGGTTGTGCAGCGCACCAGGCTAAAGACCAAAGGTGACAGATCATTTGCTGCTGTGGCCCCCAGACTCTGGAACTCTCTCCCCCTGAGCCTGAGATCAGTAGACTCAGTGGTCTCCTTTAAAAAGCAGCTGAAGACTCACTTGTTCAGGCTGGCTTTTGTATGACCTTCTTCACCACTCTCTCTTTATTCTGCTCTCCCCACCTATTCCACCTTCCTCAGGATCCACTGATTTCCCTCTTTCCTATTCACTGTCTCTCTTTCTTAACATTTTTAATCACAATTGTCTATTTTTTGCTCATTTAAAATACATTTTTAACCATTTTCTAAATTCTTTTTTATATTTTTACATTTTTTGTTTTAATGAAGCACCTCATGATTTTTATCTTGAGAGGCGCTATAGAAATTATATCTTCTTCTTCTTCTTCTTCTTCTTCTTCTTCTATACTGGCACAAACACACTCATGGAGTGCAGCAGGCTGGAGCAATTAGCACATCTGATAGCGTCTGAAGCTAGCCCCAGCAGGAATAGAAGTGACAAAGAGAAGGAACAAAACTGTTTCTCAGAGTGAGCTGCATGTCTTAATGGATGAAGAGCAAAGTCACTTCTAACATCAAAAGGCAGAGTAGAGCTCGGTGGTCAGTTTCCAACAGTAACATAAAAAATGAAAGGCCACATCTTTAAACGTGTATTTAGAACAATGGCCAGAAATTGGTCCTTGATTTTCTTTCTGGTCAACTAGGTATCAGAATTATATTTTATTCTATTAAATCTTCCCATTTTATGTGAAGGTAAGAGCCCTGCAAAGGTTTGATTTCATTTTTTCTCTGAGAGGTGCAAATGCCTCCAGTTCCCAGGAGATGGTAAATGCATATGGCAGCTCTTTGAGAATCAGAAACCTTTTAGCCAAAGCACAAACTTGCACAAACATTGGAGGGGTTTCCTCTAAATGCCTCATTTAAATGCTGGCAGACAGCTCAAGTGCTGTTTGGTTGGAATAAGGTGCAGATGACACTTTGTAAGGGCTCTGTAAATTAGACAGAGATGCCAAAATCTATGGAGAACTCAGAAAAGACACAAAATCTATTGGTAAATTCAGGCCTGAGAAAGTCTAGCAGTTCTTTTTTCCTTTTAGAATTAATATTTTAAATACAAAACTAAAATTTATTGGCAGGATTATCAGGCATGAAAAAATCTAACAAAGAGTAAAAAGAGCACTATTTTGGTTCAAATATCCCATCATACCGTAGAGCTGCCAAACTCGAACTTTATCTTCGTAGGGTAGATCGTATTTCAGAGGGTCTCCTACGGGACCTTGGTAGTATGGTCTCATGATGGACTCCATGGCTGAGGTGTGGACCAGACCAATGGCATGACCAAACTCGTGGACTGCGACCGCAAACAGATCCATCCCGTGAGAGTCTGAAAAAACAAACAAACAAAAAAACAATATAAGACACAATAGATCATATCTTGGTGGAAAATATTACCTTAAAATGAAGAAATCGATTAAAGATATGCATTTAAAAAATAAATGACACTTATTCAAGCTAAACTATAATTTTTCTTTCAATTACAACAAGTGTTCAGGCCATATTATTATTTTACCAAAGCCCACCAGTACATTGTTCATTATATGGATGGAGATGAGAAGACAAGCAACTGTAGACTTTGGGTTTCGTAGCAAACCAAAGGTTTGATCCTTGGCATTTTGATAACTGCAAAAGCAAAAAGCTGCCTCAAGAAGCAAGGTATTAGGAAATAAATATCTTGTGGTTAAGCATAGATCCAATAACTGGATCACCACCATCAATAATTATTCCTGCAGAATAAAGAACCTAACAGAAACAACCAGAAACTACTGAATATCCGGTTACAACAAATGTCATGGCAAGTTTATTTGAATGTACACAAGCCATTTAATTGTGCTGTAGATAAAGAATAGAACAAAATGATGAAAATAAACAATAAATAATTTTAAAAAAGTAAATAGCCAACTAAAAACGTTTCCAAGGTTAAAAAGTAAATTGCCCAAATTTAGGAAATTTTACAAATATGTCCCCTTCCTGTGACCAACAGCTTAGACTATTTCAGTTCCATCTTACAGCACAGGATCCTTGGTAAAGTCCTTAGGAAAGCTCAACAATGACTTCAGCTGTAAGTCTGTGTCCTAAATTGATCCCTAACAGGAACTTTTCACCTGCTCATGGAGTAAATTGAGAGGCATGACAGACAGCTCAGGAAACTCTGAGTACTGTTGGGCATGTGGTGTAGTGAGATAACTTGGGTAAAGCTGCCTGAGTCCCTAAACTGCCAATCAAAATCCATGTGCCGAAACGACACCTGAGGGGTTAGCAGACTCTTAAAGAGCCTTCCCTTCATGTTTGGCCAAAACATCAAAAGAAATCTCCAAAACTCCTTGTTTAACTCTGAGAAGCACCACAAAACCTTGGACTTGGAGATTTAGATTATATGAAAAGCTATGTGTCATGCAGAGCTGGTTTAGAGTTCCTCAGTGGCTGGACTCAAGTCAGCCTTTAGTTAACCTTGGTATGGCTTCAACCGGGGACACACAGTCATGCCTCCAGCATTCACCTGGGGACTCCAGGAGACAAATACCGGCTCTAATCTACAGAAGCACGTGGTGCAGGTGAACAAAGGAGGGATAAGAGACAGAGAACTGGGGCTCAGCACAAAGGATCTACCATGTCATCGTATTTATGGCCCATGTGAAACCGACAGAATGGATGTGATGCCCGAGGACAGAGTCGGAGCAGGGAGAATCATGTGGATGAGCCAGATTTGTTCTGGAAAGCCGGGAAGACAGAAAGACAAAGTAGAGTTTTGTGTAGCGCTGAAATCTCGGAGGCACAAGCTTTGTTCTTCTAGATACACCAGTGACCCATTAAGAAGCTTTTTATTAACTCAAATACTTTCATTGCATGGAGCTGAGAACAGACTAAGAGCCTCATTCACCAGATCTCTATAAACCTTTTCTGACTGCTATTCCCACAGCCGTTAAAGGCAATGATTGTGTTTGCTTACATTTGCTGCTAAACTATGAAAAACTTCCCCAGTATATGAATGAATGGATCAGTCAGTCACCTATTTCCTTCAAATGCTATCTGCTTTTCTTGATTTTTTTTTCCCTTTAACTTTTGGAACTGAGTTATGTATTTCATTAAAAGTATTAACAAAATACCAAATCGGAAAAGGGTAGAATGCCTTCTCCAGGTCAGGGATGAGGTCCTGCCTCAAACTGAGGCATTTAAGTATCTCGGGTCTTGTTAAATAATGAGGGAAAAAATGGAGCATGAGATAAATAGGTGGTTTGGTGCTGTGTCTGCAGTGTTGCAGGCGTTGTACCGATCTGTGATGGTGAAGAGAGAGCTGAGCCAAAAGGCAAAGCTTTCGATTTACCGGTCTATCTACGTTCCTTCCCTCACCTACGGTCACGAGCTTTGGGTAGTGACTGAAAGAATGAGATTGCGGATCCAAGTGGCCACAATGAGTTTTCTCCACCGGGTGTCTAGGCCCGTAGAGATGAGGTGAGAAGCATGGTCAACCGGGAGGGGCTCGGAGTAGACCCGCTACTCCTCCACGTTGTAAGGAGCCAGTTGAGGTGGCTCGGGCATCTGGTTAGCATGCCTCCTGGATGCTTCACTGATGTCCCCAGAGAAGCTGGCCCAAGTGGCTGGGAATAGGGAAGTCTGGGCGTCTCGGCATAGGCTGCTGCCCCCGCAACCCGACTCCAGATAAGCGGCTGAAAATAGATGAATGGATGGATGGATGGATTTTAACAAAACACTTGCTTTAATGTGCTTGAGAAAATCTGTGGGGTAAACCTGACAAAACCTTACTTCCATACAACAATCTTGTCATTCAGTCATTTCTAACAAATCTCCTAAAAAGGTTGCAGGAAAAGTTTCAGCTTTGTGTGACCATCCCATGACATCCCATGATGATTTCTTGTTTTTGTATTTAAGTTTTGTCATTGGGTCTGATCCTGAATGACCAATTTTAGATGCACCAAAATCGGACACTTTCCCCTGTAGGAGATGATGAGTTAGGTTTTTCCTGACATGCCTGCCCTTTTTTCTTTAAACACCTGAAAATAAATAAATACACAAATAAACACTTGACTAATTCTTTTTCTATTTTTCTCAGACATCCAGATTTCACCAGCTCTTAGGGGCCAATAAATACTTGACACTAAATGCATGTTGCAAACAGTTATTTAGGTATCAGATGCAGGAATTTCCTTAAGCATTGGATGGTTCTCCTCCAAATGCATGAATTATACCTGATTTAAGTGTGGGCAAAATGCATCAGTGCAGGGTCACCGTTTGGCTAGCAGCACAGGAACAGGTGCACATGTCCTTTTGCAAGGGCTTGGCGACAAAGTTGCATTTCCATTATAGGCGTTCCAGGAACATTCTGGGAGGGGAGAAGGTGACAGCGATAATACATTGACTGGTCTGGAGACAACATCTCAGCTGTTGTCTCCATAAAAAATAAAAAAAATAAATCAACCATTTCAGGACTTTGCTAAGAGATAAGCATATCGCAACCATTTCAGCAGTGAGTGACATTATTGATCAGTGCCAAAAGGCATCAAAGGACATAAATGACTTTGAAGACATTTTATTCTGTCAAGGTACACTGTAATTCAAACCGATCAAGAGATAGAGAGAGTGGCTGTGTGAAATAAAAAGCGATGTTCAATCATCAGAAGAAACACTGTTTTCTGGCACTCTGACCAACCAAAAACAACATAAATTGGTGGCACCAGTTGAATAACACCAGTGAGGTGGTGTTCCACTACATTTTTAGGTGTGTAACATTTAGAAATGGCACTTTGAAAGTAGCATCAATACTGTTTTCTTTTCCTTCCGTTTTGCATCACCATTAACTCTTCCGATATTACAAATGCTGGTTGTCTAATCTGCTAATATCGAATCCCAATGGTTGACAGCCAGCCAACATAAGTTAACCTTAAGACCCGCCCAGTGACTCCACCGTGACATTTCTGAGGACATCTTCCAAGGCTGGTCCCTGAAATGGCCTGGAAAGTGGTCCTTTTGGGCCAGCCCGGAGACATGCACATACCATGAAGATCCATTATATTACCCAAATGCCTTTGAACAGAAACCCATAAAAACACCAAAAGCTTAAATTACAATAGAAATAGAAACACAATGCTTAGAAGAATTCAGGGTTAAGCTTGCCAAAGTTGTATTTTCTTTCTACTTGGAAATGTGGCAAATTTTCAATATTATGGACAAAAAGTTGAAGGAAATGATCAACACTTTCTTAATTTTGTGCACGTTTAGTCCAAAGCAAAACAACAAAGATGCTGTTCATGTTTGGTTAAACAAATTATTACAACCATTGCAAAGGTATTGTGGATTAAGTTTAATCCATTATTAGTAAGAGAAAGCTGTGTTGGATCTACCACATTGATTTGCTGAATTTAAACTCACTGTATGTCATCTAATCCTAAACGTATGACAGGATACCATTTATTATATCAGAGAAACAAACATACTGTTTCTCCATGGATTTGTGTGCTTCAGTTCTCACATTGTTTTCAGGAACAATAAATCAGTGCATTCTGCAAATAAAAAAATCAGACACAGAACTTTTCTACTCAATTCCTCTTTCTCCTATAATACATTTGTGTTGTGTTTATTCACTGTGGGGTTTCTACTTGCTGTTTTCATGTGATGTTTTTTGTTGTTGTGCTGCATTGCTTTTCCAGTTATCCTTGCAGCATCACACAAATGCTTTTTCTTATCACCCCGTTTTACAATAGCATCAGTCTAGACATTCGGAGTGAAAATCAGGACACAAACAAAAGACGTTGTTGTCTACAGATCAAACTTTAAACCCATACTTTGAACAATGCTCTGGTAAAACAAGAAACTTGATCAAAACCTGACAAACTAAAGCCCTCCATTCTTCAGATGCATCATCTGTTGAACTAAAAAATTTTGATGAGGCAAGGTGAGGTAAATATAAGCTTAAGGGTTACTTAGCAACACATTTCACACAGCTAGGATTTACAGACCTGAGAGGGAAACAGAGTACAATGTCAGCTTCTTGCGTTTAATTTATTTTGTAAGTTTCGGCTGAATGACCTTCAGTGTATTTGATTGAAGATTCAAAGTGACTTGGCAGAGACAAGTCATGACCAAACAGTGATCATTGGTGCAAAACAAAACAAGACAGAGTTACAGAGAGAAAATCAGCCAAAAAGTAAAGGTCTACGATCAAATCATGCAACGTTTTGCAAAATTAAAATTTGGGTTTCTGTTTCACAGTCATACCTTTTGACCAATGTATCTGGATTAATCTCAGTATCATAAGTGATTCTAATAAAACATCCAAAAAGAGAGTTGATTTAAAAGGAGAATCTGTAT